GGGGGAGTAAGCTTTAACACTGACTTATTGTGTAATGTACAAAGGCAGTTGGTTGGAAACTGCCACTGGTTGACCCTACTTCTTTCCTTACCCACAGTTGTTTCTTTTTGTCTGTCTTGCTTGTTTCATGAACCAAATGGCTGTGAACACGTCAGTTTGCTTCTCTTTATGTAGTTTTACACTCAAAACTTGTTCTGGAAAGATATCTTGTTATGTTTTTCCTTCTTTCTGCTGTATCCCAGATTCTGTCCCCAAATACCCCAGGATAGCCCAGACAAGCTTGATAAAGCAGTCCACCTCCCGAATGATTTCTGCTATGTTGATGGATGGGTTACGAATATTTTTTTACAGCAAAATACTTATGTTATTCAGTGAGGGTGGATCAGTTTATTTAGTGAATTAGCCAAAAAAAGGAGGAAAGAAGGCACAGATGCACGAAGTAAATATCACAAATGTGCATTCTAGTATATATTTCAGTTCAAGTTTGTATCTATAAATAGTTGAAACTACACATTGTTGAGGAGAAAAGTGACCATATTAGACAGGTTGCCGTCTTACACAGTGTCATTATAATGTAAAAAGTACACTAGGGAGGAAAGGGAAGTGGTAGTTAACCCAAGTGATTGTCTGTACAAGTGGCTATTATAACAGGTTTCACTGTACTTAGCATACAGCTGATTTCTTATCCAAACCTTTTTATTGTCCTTTTGGCAGGAAATACTTATGTTAGACGAATTTGAACCTAACAGCACCCGTGTCTCTGATGATGGTTTGGCCGTTGAAGTTGTGAATGCCACATGTATGTGGAGCGCTCGAAAGACTGGCAAAGAAACCAGTGCAGGTTTGCTCTTCACCTTGATTTATGAATGTTCTTCTTTTCCGTATGAGAGGGGTGGGGAGGAGGAGATAGACAGAGGGAGGGAGGAAAAGAGGAAGGGAGGGAAGGGGAATGAGGTAGGTGAGAGATTGACATACAGAGAGGAAAGAAAACTGTTTGAATTAAGTTTCAATTTGTAAATTTAACAGAAGATTATTAGACATTCTTAAACTTTTTTTTTATAACGGCAGGTGGAACTGTAATAAGTGTGTACAATTAATTTAACAAAAATTACGGGAAAATTTGCCCCTCCCTCTCTCTCTCTCTCTTTCTCTCTTGGGCATGTGCTCTCACTCTCTGTATCTCTCTTTGTCAGTCTTTTTCTCTCTCTCTCTCTCTTTTCCCCCCACCCACTTCCTTCTCTCTCTTTCACTCTTACTTAATTATAATCTAATTTTGTGTTGATTAGGATGTGAAACATCTTTGAAAAAGTTACAAATGTACAGCATAATATTTCTTGGTTGCTAAAAGTGACTTAAATGGTTCCCCCCC